GCTAACTGCAAGGTGAGTGGTTCGAAGCCAGGAGACACTCTGAGGGAGAAAGATGAGGCTTCCTGCTTCTGTAAATATTTACAGCCCTAGAAATGTGCTCTGTCTTTTAGGGTCTCTATGAATCAGAATCAACTAGATAGCATTGAGTTTGGTTTTATACCTATAAAAATTCTCAATCATAAAAAGCCATTTTATGTGTAGAATAGACTTAGCAGATATTTTTATAGTCTCTGAGAAAGACAGAAAGTCTTATAAAGTATCGGTGCTTACCAAAGTCTAACCTTGACCAGAAGTTGACCTCTGCTTCCCTATCACTTTGGACCAGGGCTGCAGTCGGGCTTTCTTCCCTGACAGTCTGGAGTGAGGTGGCTTTCCTCTTTGGAGCTCTGCTCAATGCCCCAAGGACCCCATGGCAGCAGCTCAATGCTTTCCAAATTCTGCCTCCAAATGGAATGTTGCTCGGTATCCAATTACGAGCTGTTGGGCCTTCAGAAATGTCTGAAGAACTGGTCTTTCAATGATGGGACAAGTGAGCTGTTCCTGAGATCAAACAGAATCCTTCTGATTTGATGGTACTATTTTTACCAAAAAGGGCCTACTCGTAGAGTACTTTGCCCTGAGGCCTCTCCATCACTACTCATGGGCATGACAATGCCAGTCTGATGAAGCGCATTAGAAAAGTCTTGACAGCAGGTCTGCTTAGCCTTCCTTAAAAAACTAGTTGCTGGGCTCTTACATAATTTTTTTGTTGTCCTTATTAGAATTACTGTTACAAAAGCCACTGTTGAATACCAAAAAGATGTTATAAGGCTGCTAAAAGAAAACCTGAGAAGAAGCCAACAGATCCAAGATACCTCAAGTAAGTATTAAATAAAAACATTTTTAGATCCTTACCATTGTAAATTTCAATAGACTATACATTGTGAGGATTAGTACTATTATCAAGGGGCTTCAAAGAGTTGGTGTAAAAATTCCATCATTTTTCAATTCTATCTTTCCGTGACCTTTTTGAAGACCCTCAGTATATGTAACAGTCTAGGGCAGTGGTTCTCAACCTTTCTAATGCCGCAACCCTTTAATATAGGTCCTCGTGTTGTGGTGACCCCCCCAACCATAGAATTATTTTTGTTGCTACTTCATAACTGTAATTTTACTACTGTTATGAATTGGGTGACCCCTGTGAACGGGTCGTTCAAACCACAGGTTGAGAACGACAGGTTGGTGGAATTTTTACACCAACTAGAGTGAACTAATTGTAGCTAAAGTTGCATAACAGTATAAGGTGCTGCTAGAAGGCTATGGGTGAAAATGAAAGCCCAAAAGTCATTTGCAGAATTCCTATGTGGACTAAGCCTCCATTGAATTTCTTCCGACTATTGACCAGGAATGTAAATAGTCTTGCCCTCAAACCAGGTGCATTGGGAAGTGAATTACTTCTATATCCTCACCACCAACAACAACCCAGGGGGTGCAATCTCACGTAGGGCCTACTTGAGTATGTCCCTTGCTTGATGGAGATCATAGTTACTGCGCGTCAAATAGGCACGAGTCGTGTCTTGGCTGCTTCCAGAAAGCCCCACCAACCAGTATTGCAAGCTCATCTGTCAAACCAAATATGTGTGTCTCAGTCATGGCCTCCAACCTGGCTTCACGTGCTCCACCGCTAACTAGGGTGTATTTATCTGCACCCACTATGTTTTTGTGACAGTTTTCTTTAACCTCCCATGTCCTTTATAATACCCTAAGCAAACCGTTGGACACCATTTTGACCTTGGGCCAATAGTCTCTCTGATCCATATGACCTGTCTCTGTAGTTTATCATGGCCATGTCCCATTTAACACTTAATGTTAATTTTAAATTAAAAAAAAAGAAAGAGCATTATCTCGATCTAAATACCAGATTGTAGGAATTCAGAAAGTGTAGATGGTCCAGGGGTACAAAAAGCCAACAAATAAAGCCAACTATGAAAAGAAAGGGGGTGGGGGGTGCAGCTCTTGTAAAGTGAAATAATTCACTAATTTGGAAAGAACATTTTACAGGTTTAGTCTAAGCAAAATATGTTTACATGTACCTCTGCAACCATTGGATGACTGCAAACGGGTACCGTATATACTCGAGTATAAGCTGACCCGAATATCAACCGAGGCACCTAATTTTACCACAAAAACTGCATTAAAATGCTGAAAAACTCGGCTTATTCATGAGTATATACAGTAACTTCTCCTGGTAAAACACTTGTCGTAGTCTCCAAAATTAAAGTACTTTCAAACAAAAGAGTTGATCAAAACTGACTTTTGAGATCTACTAAGCCTTTTAGTAAATTCAAGATAATGGGGCCAGTTCAAACAGTTAAGGTGACTGATTTTGGGCATTCTAAAGGGTGATCTTAATAGATTTCCTCAACCCAGGGTAATCACAAGGCTTATCAATCATAAAGAAGTCTTAAGAAAACTGAAACTGCATCATTAAGGAAACGACCAGGAAAGTTGCACCAAGCAGTTTTTTTCCATCACAACCATGTACCTGCTCACTTTCTGGGGTAGCAAGGACTGTCCTGTGAGAATTCTTTGGGAAACCTTGCCCCATCCACCTAACACCTGGTCCTGACTCTTGTGACATCGTTTATGTTCCAAGCGCTCACAGAACATTTCAAAGGAACACAACTTGAGTCTAAGGGTGCCAGAGTTATAGTGCTGATGTGAAATAAGTTGAGAAGTACAAAATTGTATGGAGATGATCAGAGGTACGGAAACACTGCTTTCAGTAGTGTACAGACCTAGATGGAAGGTCTATTGAAAACTAGCTTCACATTGTGATATTCTTGTTTAGTAAATGCTTCTGTGATTTTATAGCAATGCATTCTTACCTGCCCTCATCTTGTGCAGAATGCTTTTTCTTTTTTAATCATTTTATTGGGGGCTCTTACAACTCTTCTAACACCCCGTCCGTCCATCGTGTCAGGCACATTTGTACATCTGTTGCCATCATCCTTTCCAAAACATTTTCTATTTGAGCCCTTGGTATAAGCGCCTCTTTTCCTCACCCTCCCACCCTCATGAATCCTCCATCAATTATATATTGTTACTATTATTTCATATCTTACACTGTCCATTGTCTGCCTTCACCCACATTTCTGTTATCCATCCCCTTCGTGGGGAAGGGGGACTAGTTATCCAACCTTGTAATGGGTCCCCCCCCCACCTTTTTCTCCCTTCCCCCTCCCCAACCAGGATGCTTTCTAAAGATGGGTCTTATCTTTATGTATCTATCGTCATGAAAAAGGCCAGTAATTTTTATTTAAGAGGAAACCGTGCTACTTTATTAAAATACTGAGTTTTATTTCACATGTATATTTTTGTCTCCTCACCATTTCTATTGGTCTGACCACTGCTAGTATCCTGTCCTATCACAACATTCTGCACATACTTAGGACCAAGCGAAGGGTGGAGTTCCATCTTTACAAACTACACCGGCATCTCAACAACACATTCTTGGCGAAGGAACCTGGACAGCATGTATCAGCCGCGGCAGGGAACGTTCTCACTCTGCATTATGAAAAAGGATGGCCAGATAGCAACTGTTACCGAAATGAAATAAGATGGAAATTTTAACAAACTGTAAACTATGTTCTTAAAGAGACATCTTCCTGCCAGAGATCTTGAGTAGCCTCCTGGTCAGTGGTCCGGAAACAGTTCTTCACACAATTGATGAATCTGGCTTCCACTTAGGAAGAGACCCACTCTTCTGTACTTGCTTGCATTTTTGCTTTAATGTCTTCTACAGAACTACGTCCTTTCGGTGTTTTGGGGGAGTTTTTCCTGTATTTTGAAGCATTCTTGACCTTTGAATCTTGGTGTTGATGGGTTTGGGTCTTTTCCATTCTGGTTTGATATGTGAGCATTTGGGGCCAAACTATCACATATAGATTTCTTCCCTGCAGCTTTTCTTCACTATCATCGTCATCATTTCCTTCAGCTGCAAGTTTTACTTTTTTCTGTGGACACTCGGTACTGCTTCTGTGGGCAGACTGCTTTCCCAGTAGGCTTAAAGGTTTCACCTCCTCCTCCTCCTATCATCTGACTCTCCATCTTCCTCCGTGGCTACGAGATGCTGTCCGCTAACAAGGACAGGCCCTGAGCCACCCTTTGCCCCTGAGACCACTGGTGGTCTCATTTCAAAGCCCCCAAAGGAGACCAGGTGGCTGGGCAGACATTGTCAAAGTTGCCCGTGTTCCTTTAATTGGGCTGCCTTTGTAATTCATTGCCTCTGTTTCACCAACATGCAGTTCGTCCTTTGCACCAGCACCTAAACTGGCTGTCCGGAAAGATAACTGCTGCTCATTTTCATCATTGTCCACCTTAAAGTGGTCATCGTTGTTGACCTTTAGTTCAAACCGGAATTATCGTTTGGGGGGCCTCAGGGAGGTTGTGTGCATATCCATCAAATCTTCCATGGGGTGCTACCCACTTCAGTGAGAGAAAGGAGGACAGGTAAATCACTGCCGTCGCTGTGACAGCAGCGCACGGGGAGCCCAATAATTCTTAAATGCAGCACGGAGGTATACTGATATAGTAGGTGTTGGCCATTATTTAGAAATTATGCTAGTTTTATTGTTTCATTGTGGTGAAAATTATATAGTATATAATAACCAACTGCCAGTTAAATAAATGTGTGCTGCATGCTGGAGCTTTGATGGCTTATTGGTTGTGTGTTGGGCTGTGGTCCTCAAGGTCCGCAGTTCAAAACCACCAGCAGCTCCTCAGGAAGAAGGCGGAGGCGGGGCTTCCTGTTCCCATGAGCAGTTAAGCGCCTCCTATGTAGTCGCTATGAGTCACGTCGACTCTGGCAGTGGGCTGGGTTTTGGCTTGGTTTGTGCTGCGTACTTCTGACACACCAACCAACTCGCCGAGAGAATCCTACCCTCACTCCAGGCTGTGGGAGTGTTTTCCGGGGGGTGCTGGAATGATTCAGGGAGGCTGAATAAGCAGATACCTATATTTGTCCTGGATTAGGATAACATTTTTAAGTATCGGGAGATGCTGAAAATTTTATTTTTTTCCTGAAGAAGAGGGAAGCACGCCAAATAAATTTGGAACCCTATTCTAGAGGGACTTCCCCAACCCCGAGGGTTGCTTCTACCGCAGCCCTGGTCAGAGACCTCAGGCCTGGAATCGCATTAGCTGCGGGACGTTAGCAGAGCTTAGTGGTGGAGTGAGCTTCAGGACTGCGCGTCAGGCATGGAAGGTGGCGGAAGGGGAGTGCCCGATGGCTTGAAGGGAGACGGTGCGTGAGATGTTCCGATTCTGTGGTAACAACTGCATTTGAAAACACTTCATTTTGAACATTGAAAGTGATTTCTGTGCGCGTTTGCCTCTCACAGTGCTATCAGAAAACGTCGAGCCTCAGGCTGTAACTAAAGCCATCACCTGCGGGGGTGGCAGTGGCATTGTACAGAGCACGCAAGTGCTCATCTGGAAAAGTGAGCACATGAAACTGGAAAGTGAGGTCTCCAAGTTGAAGCAGAGAAATGAGCAGCTGATGAAGCAGCAGAATGAGCTGCGGAGGTAAGCCCTTCCCGCAGCGGTGTGCTGATGGCTGTTCCCCGGGGCCGCTGACCAGCAGGTGCCTGCTCTCCCCCAGCCGGCCTATTTTGACTTACTTTAAACTCGACTAAGAATTAGAACCTAAACAAAGACGTTGGAGGACCAGCTTAAATAAACCCAAGTCCGTGAGACTTTACAAAAGAGAGCCCCTAAGTTTCTTTGACATAGCCTGCTTCCCTTATAATCAGATCTAACAAACTTAATTATTAAAATTGGTTCAGAGATCTCTACTTGTGATACAATGGAAGAAAAGTTGACATCAAACAGATAATATAAATAACTACTGCAATAAATCCTATTTTAAAAACAAATAGGATCTGGTGAGAGCATTTAATAAGAGATGAAGCCTTATCTAGATTTGTGTGCTGGAGAACAGGTGATTAAGAAACTAATAGAGTAAATCTGAAAAGTCAGGAGAAATCAGGCTCATTGAAAGGAGAGAAGGCCAAGCTTTCTAAGTTAAGGTCGAGGCGTTTAATCAGGAAGAATAACCAGTTGGTGGAACTGAAAGATGCCGTGGACGTGACCCCGGGTAGAATTTGAGATGGAGATGCCGAGGTCACTGGGTCCAGAGTGCACAGGGCCTTCGAGATCATCGTTAAGCTGTATGGCATCCTAAATGCACTGGAAGCCAACAGAGGATTTTGATGAGGCCAGATAGCGTTTTGACCCCTTGCATGTTATGAGGCAACCCAACCAAGAAGCTATTTATAATATTCCCGGGAAAGTTTTGGCATGGACTAGAGTAGTGCTGATGCAGGTCGCGATACGGAAATGAATTTGGCACACATTTCTGATGCTATATCAACGCCGTGCTAAATTAAGAAGAGCGGAAACTTAGGGTTGCTTCCCAGGTTCCTGTCAGGAAGAACTGAACGAATGAATGCTGGTAGCATTTCCTGTCAGAAACAAGACTCTGTAGTCTAGAAAAGTGCATCCAAGATTCTTGTCCCGAGGAAGTTAATGTATTAAAGTATCATAGTAAAGTTCCGTGAGATAAACCACTCTGGATATCATTCGTGTATACTCGGCTGTTCCAGATGACGTAGTCGGGGGATGTACTGCGGCACTTTCGTTGGTGTTGAACTGTTCCATTTTCGGAACTCTGGAAATGGTCCGAACAGGAAGCATTAGCTTGCAATTTAACTGATGTGCATACGTTTCAAAATTAACCCATCTGACGGTTTACTTTTCTCCTCCCTAAATTCAAGCAACAATCTTCGTCTTTCTAAAGAGATCAAAACATGGAAAGAAAGAACCATTATAAGAGAAGCTCCAAAAGAAGTCACTTATGAAAATTCCCCAAAGTCTCCTAAAGTGCCCAGAACGCCTTCTAAAAACAGACAGAATACTCCTTCACAGTGTAAGGAGCGGAATTCACAGGAATCGCCGAAATCCTGGTTTTTTGATAGCCGATCAAAGTCTTTTCCAACAGCTCATCCAGTTCGCTATTTTGATAACTCAAGTTTAGGCCTTTGCCCAGGTAGGTAATACATTGGTTATTTGGATAAAGATGTTAACTCATGTGTAGCACATGGGCCCAAAGGGCAAGTTTAAGGGAGAGGAAGTACTTCAGTAAGTGGTAGCCTTCATATGCTGTCCCCCAGTAAAAAGTCAGTTTCACCAGAGATCTAAGTGAAATCTTTATTTTGTGCTTAAACACTCAGCTTTCCCCTATAAAGAGACAAACCTCTTTCGTAAACAGGACATTACCCTACAAACTATTTTACTTAAAATGCCTTTCTAACCAACGCATTCACCAGCTTGCGTTATTTACTCAATACGTTATTCAGTCAGGAAATGTTTTGGAGCCCCTGCTAAGGGTCACATCACTGCAGGGGTAGCATTGCCCTGCCTCACGGACTTGACAGGCGAGTGAGAGATGCAGACTCTAGTCGGGTAGTCGGAAGAGGAAAGTTGTAGCAGTGTAAAAGGTGGTGAGGGCGTACAGTATGTGTGAGCAGATTGAGAATGGCTTCCTTGGGGTAGGAAGACACTGCCCTCAGTTGATTCCAACTCACCGTGACCCAGGAGGGCAGAGTAGAACTGCTTCCTAGGTTTTCCAAGACTACATCTTCATGGAAGCAGGCTACCTGGTCTTTCTCCCCTAGAGCAGGTGGTGGATTCGAGCCACCAGCTTTTGAGTTAGGAGCCCAGTGTCTAACCTACAGTGTCACCAGGGCTCCAGCTTACCAAAGAAGGCAGGGAAACGCACTGTCAGCAGCTGAAACAGCCGCATTCCTGGGGAGGAGGGAAAATGATGGGGGTGGAGGATGTCAGCAAGACCAGAGAGGGAGATACGATCCAGACAAGCTTGCCTGAGATTGTAGAATGTTCACTGTGTCTTGTGAGCAAAGAGGAAACCCCTGACAGATTTTACAGGAGTAGAAAGCCTCGTCTTTCTCCCATGGAGCAGCTGGTGATTTTGAACTGCTGACCTTGTGGTTAGCAGCCCAACGTGTAACCATTACCCCACCAGGGCTCCTGCTCCTGACAGATTTTAAAGAGCTGGTGAGCAGGGGAGTCTGATGAGGTATAAATTCAGAAAATCACCTCAATCAACACGTGGTGGGCGAAAGTTGGTAGCAGTAGTTTAAGCAAGATGTGATACTAGCTTGGACTCAGCAGGTGTGGTAGAGAAATCAAATCAGCGGTGCTGAGGGCCTGGCCTGTGGGGAGGAAAGAGTGGGAGGTGCCAGGATCACCCTGAGTTCTGCAAGGTGCTGTCCAGAGATGCCAGGAGGACTGCAGGGAAAGAAAGCCACGTAGCATCCCCTTTCTTAGCTTTCTCCCCATAAAGCATTTATTGTGTGCCCTGGTGTGCATTGTCCCAGGCTGAGGCTGTTAAAAAGAATTATTTATGCACCTTGAACTCTTTGTGACCATGTTTGTGCCTGTCAGCATCACCCTATCGTTCTGAAGCCGCAAAAGTGGACGCCAAGCTTGTGAATCATTGAAAGCTTTGCACAAAGGTTGCCAAGCTTTATGAGCACTGAACTTTGTGACGAAAATGAAGTCAGTCCATTCTCCACGCAGAAACCAGATCCTTTGGCAAGCTCTTAGGGACATAGCAAGGCACCAAACCATTTAGAAAATTGGTTTGCCCTACTGTCTTCCTTGAGAGCTTTCCACTGTGTGGGTCCTTACGCAGAATTTCTGATGCAACACACAATTATTTTAGAAGAGTTTTGAAAAGGTGAGAAACTTATAATCACCTCTGATTTTATCTAATGGTGGCAGAGGCATGTGCTAATCTAAACTGCAAATAAAAATGCCTACTGCTTTTTACTACTATGTAGCTCTCTCTGCCTGCCACTGTTTGGGGGAAATAAAGGAATGGGCTAGAGCAGTGGTTCTCCACTTACCTCACGCCGCGGCCCTTTCATACAGTTCCTCACGTTGTGTTGACCCCCTTCATCACTGTAATTTTGCTACTGTTATGAATCGTAATGTAAATATCTGATATGCAGAATGTATTTTCATTGTTATAAATTGAACATAATTAAAGCATAGTGATTAATCACAAAAGCAATATGTAATTATATACTGTGAAATATTTATTTCTAATTACAAATAAACGAAATTTTGTCTAGAAGCATGGTATAGCATGGGTAACAGTCTTAACATAACAACAGTAAGCTACGTTGCTCCATTGTGCAACAGTATGCATAAAAAGCCAATGTCAGTGTGAAGGTTGAGATAGCTTCCTTCTCACCAGATCAGTACATCTGCAAGTGGGCGGACCCGCCTGGAGATGGATAGAGGAGCGGTGTCTGGGTTCCTAAGACATCGGAAATATATGAAATACATGTTTTCCGATGGTCTTAGGCAACCCCTGTTAAAGGGTCGTTCGACCTCCAAAAGGGTCACAATCCACAGGTTGAGAACCAGTGGGCTTGAGGAATCTGTTAATCAAACACCTGTCAATTCAGAATTAAAGAAGATAGTCCCAGCTTAACTTAATAAACATATTAATGGAGAATTTTTAATTTCCAAACTGTATATTTACTTTTAATGGTAAAGAAAATAATCTTAATAATCTCAACAAATTAAGCTATTTGCAAAGATCAGTTATGCTAAATTAACTTTTAAGAATGTAAACTTAAAATTAATATTTTTATAGCTACTGCTGAAATGGATTTTAAAGGCTGAAGAAAGTTTTCCAAAAATGACAATGTTCTCGATGTACATAATATTTAACACACCAGGGTTTTTTTCTTCCCTAAAAATAGGGTGAAAGAAATTTGAAATCTGTTTAATTTGCTTTGAATCTCAAATAAACTAATTTCAGATAGATTTTAATACTATATCTACACTTAAATGTTTTCTAACAGAAACAGTTGTTTATTTTTGCAACCATCTTATAATGGATTTTTGTCCTAATTTTTTCATTTTCTGAGACAATAGAAAATGAGCGTTTCAAACTCTGATGAACGGAAATACACCTATTTCAGTGAGCAGACTCACTGAAACTGACAATCCCAGTGCCCTGGTTCATTCCCTAGCTCTTTCCTGCCCTGACAACTTTTTCCCCTCCAGTTGTACTTGGGGAGGGGGTTGGAGAGAGAGAGTGATTGTGTGTGTGTGTGTATGTGTGTAAATAATATAGGCTTTCTTTTCTCTCCTTCACAGAGGAACACACCATCGGGGCAGAGAACGTGGCCCCTCCGCCAGATCCCTGGCGCACCTCTTCCGGAAAAGAGAAGCCCGAGTGCACAACACAGTAATTCCTCGGCCCCGGGGCGGCTGGTCGGCGTCCAGTGTCCGGGCAGCAGTGCGACCGTCCAACTTCATTCACGTCTGTTTTCCTGTCACCATTAGAACAGGAAGATCAAGGAATTGTAAATTAACTTCCCGGAAATTAAGAGCAGTGATGTCAGTGCCTTCCTAAATGTAGTAATGCTTTAGAAGTGGAAAGATTTTATTATTTATATATTTTATAAAGAATAAAGTTATTGAAGGAATCCTCCAGTCTTTCCATGTATTCATGCATGTGTACATTTTTATTCAGATAATGCCATGCACTTATTACTGAGGCAATTCCAAAGCTTAAGGCATTAACAGAAGACATCACTTTACTAAAGAACTTATAAATGCTTTTAGTGTCGTGCACATTGAATAAATGTGACTCACAACCTGGGTGATATTAATGGCGACTTGGCAGGGTGGTCAGGGTGTTTTGCTCTCATTGAGTTTGGCGATTTTCTCTGAAACTACATGGATCGGACAGGTCACAGCCGGTTCTCTCCACTGGTGTGTGCTCTGTCCCACAGCTCGCTCTGCTTTACAGCTGGGTTCTATAATCCCGGACAGTGGCCTCCATAGTCAGTGCTCGTGCGTATGCGGTCTATTACGGAAGTTAACAGCTTCCAAGTGAAATGAGAAGTGCTCGGAATACAGATGTTCGGTCAGGACAAGCTGCTTCCTCCACAGTGGGGAGCCGAGTCCTTAGTTGCCTGTCGGTAGCCTGGAAGCTCTGCTGAAACCCGCTCACTTGTGTGACCCTCCTGACATTTGAAATACCGGTGACTTGGCTTCCAGCATCACAGCACCACCACTCCGCCACAGGACAGCAACTGACCGACCAGTGGTGGGGGTTGGTTCCTGAGAGTCATTAACTTTGCCAAACCACCTAACCAGGGTGGCTGTGGAGATTTCAGCTGCAGCGCTAGCTGGGGCAGGGGTAGAAGTCTGATGACTACGAGGAAACAACAAATCATTAGTCTGCTGCCACTTCCCTAGCCACTGTGCTGTCCAAACCTCCATTGCCACCCTGGTTACGTGGTCTGGCAAAGTATTGACCTCCACCACCATTAGGGCCAGAGTGGCTGCCTCCAAAGTTCCCACCCTTCGTTGGTCGGAGGTGCGAAGATTGTGGTTACTGCTGAAAATCACTGTAGCTCCCACTACCTCCAAATTGCTTCCATCATTCCCAAATCCATTATAGCCATCTCCACAGCCGTCCTATCTACCACCACCAAGGCTGTCACCAAAGTTCACCTGAAATTTCCTCCATGACCAAAGTTGACATTCCCACCAGAACCACCTCCCCAGCCACCATCGAAGTTTCCAGAACCTCTGTGGCTAGAAGAGGCACTGGCTGTCTTGCTTTGACAGGGCTTTCCCACTTCACAGTTGTGTCCCTTCACAGAATGATATGTCGGAATGACAATCTTATCCGCAGAGTCATGGGCATCAGGATTCTTTCAATACCCAAGCACAAAACCAGGCATCAAATCCACCCAAAACCTGCTATCATCAATTCTGACTCATCAACTCAACGAAGCTTTGCCTTTCTACTCAAGAAAATGCCCCTCAGAAATTACAGTGTACGATCCACTGGCCAGAAGTGCATTGCGTAGCCAACGCTTGGCAACCAGGGAAGGACCCTGGTGGAGCTGGCGGGAACTTTTGGACGGCGATCTACGAGGTTGGTAGCTCAAACCCACCAGTCTCTCCAAGGGAGAAAGATGAGACTATCTGCTCCTACAATGATTGACAGCCTCAGAAACCCAAAGGGGCACGCCTACTCCATCCTACAGGGTCACTGTGCCTTAGAATCAACCCAATGGCAGTGGATGGTGCAGGATGTGGACGCTTTTGCTTTCCAGCCTTCTGATAAACAGCCAGAGGCAAGTGGGTTGAAAAGGGTGAGAGGATGCACACAACCCACGCTGTCTGCTCACGCACCTGTCCGTTAAAGTACAGGTTACTAGCCGAACCCAGAAAACTCAAAAACTACTTTTCATCCCATCTCTTCTTTTAAGCAAAACTTAGAGTTTTTCTTTCTTCTCTAGCTTATTTCCATTCTCTTCAGCCCAAGGATCCAGAAAGAGTACCTTCTCCCAAGGCACTCTTGCCTTCTGCAGCTTCACACTGGGACAGGGTGCACAGTCCCCCGTCTGCAGCCCACTCCCCAGGAAGGTTGGGACGCCCGCATTCTGCCGTGAAAGGTGTATCAGGGTTCAATGGGGCCGATGGTGACAAAATGCAAGAGGGCTTCCAAAAGTTTGTGGAAAATGGAATGGAAACAAAGGAGGTTTGTTTCACAAACTTTTGAAGCCCCTTCACAACAACAGTTAGTTTAAACAAAGAATTTTCTTCTCAACAAAACCCACGCCTAACATCAGGAAGGCTCAGAACCTTCAGTGGCCTGGGATCCTTCCAGTATGTTGCTGCAACTTTTCACCTACAGTGTCTCCAGGCCTAAAAGTCAACTCACTGCCATCGAGTTGACTCCCACTGACAGCGAGCCTAGGCTAAAACTGCCCCCATGGGTGGCCGAGCCTGTCCTTCAAGGGAGTAGAAAGCCTTGTCTTTGTCCCACTGAACTGGGCTGGTGGTTGAGCTGATGACCTTGAGGTTAGCCACCCAACTTGTAACCACCATACCACCAGTGTAACCCTTGGGCCTTATGGGGCCAATGGCCAAAAGGTTGGTGGTTGAAAGCCACCCACAGGCTCCATGGGAGAAAGGCCTGATGAATTGCTTCCCTAAAGATAAACCCATAATGCATCCATAAAGCCCATATAGGACTGAGTAGAACTGCCCCATAGGGTTTTGAGGCTGTCAATCTTTAGGTTGCCTCATCTCCCTCCGGTGGAGTGGGGCAACTGGCTCAAACCACTTGTCCCTCAATTAACACCCCAGCAATTCACCGACTGCACCATCAGGGTTCCTTCCACAAAGATTCCCAAAACAAACAATCCACTGCCATCAAATGAGTTTCTGATGCTGACGTGGTTTATAAGAGGAGATAGCCTCACCTTTCTCTTGTGGAGAGGCTGGTTTGAACCCGTCCTTGCAGTTGGCAGTCTGGAAGCCCCACAGTGCAATTCTCTGTTCCACAAGGTAGCTAGCTATGTGTCGGAATCCACCGCACCCGACAACAACCCTGAAACAGGATACGGTAGCATTTTAGGAGGAAACGAGATCCCAAATTCAAATATAATCAACAGACGCCCATTTATTAACTCTGGTGGCACAGTGGTTTCACTTTGGGCAGCAAACCATAAGATCAGTTCGAAACCACCAGATGCTCTGTGGGAGAAAGATGAGGCTTTCTACTCCTGGAAAGAGGGACAGTCTCAGAAACTGACAGAGGCAGTTCTCTGTTCTATAGGGTCTCCATGAGTCAGAGTAGGCTTGAGGTGGGGAGATGTAGACAAAGACAAACACAAATCATCTGGGCGAGGGATGGTCAACACGAGGTCATGATGGTGATGGAAAAATCTGGCTGCATGCTGCTTAAATCAGGACAGAGAAACAACCTGCCACACAATCAAGTCATCACAGTAGCAGGCAGGACCGCAGAAGCCGACGGACCCTGTGGCCGTGATACACACGCTATTGCACTTGAGAAACGTTTACAGGATTGGTTCTGAGGCCTTTGACCATCTTGGTGCCTGGATTTCCACCACAGACACACTCAGGCGGGAGACAGCCCCTCCCTGGGGCAAACTTTCTGCCTCGGAGCAAAGCTGTTCACAATGGAGGCAGAATCTATGCAGAGACTGAAAATGCATCTAGGGCTCCAACTGTTGTAAACAGTTGCCTTTTGATAGGGAGGCACAGACTAGGGAGTGAGGGGAGCGAAAGTGAAGGAAACCTGTCCACATCCCAAGTGCATTGTGAATTTCCCCGGCGGTGCGAACAGCGCGTGCGCTCAGCGGAGGTTTGTGTGCACACAGAGGGCCCTCGGAAATAAAAACTCGGCAATCCTCGGAAAGAGCAGCCCCGGAAAACCCGAAGGAGCACAATTCTACTCTGATACTCTCGGGGTCGCGAAGCCCACCTGCCAACAAGACCAGAGGGCCAAACCCACCGGCCACTCCGCAGGGGAAAGAAGCTGTCTGCTTCTGTCAGTGCATACTTATAACCTCAGACACCCTGTGCAGGGGCCGGCTTGGGGTCATGGAGCCTGTGGCCATAGCCGTGGGTAGGATTTTGATGATTCTGAATCAACTCCGTGGCAGTGGGTTTAATTTGGTCTGGTTCCACGTCTTATCTCTACTTTGAGCTAGCAGTTCTACCTCAGTTCGCTAGATGGCAGTGCGCACACACATAATCCTGCGCGTCCCCGCCGCCTGGTGGAAGGTCCGCAGGAACCGACCAGCAGGCTGGGAAGGACCTTGAACTACACGTCCCAGCGCGCCCGCCGGACTTCTCGCTGCACAAAGGCTTCCGGTACGTTGCTCGAGCTGGAATCCGCAGGACTCCTTACGAACTCGGCCCTAAAGTAAGATCTCATGATATTTTGTAAATGAAATTTTAAGTGGGGAGAGAGAAGGTTTAACATGTTAGAAGTAGGTCTGGTCTCCGCTTTGCTGACGTCAGCATTAATCTGAACAGTTAGAGCGGGACAAATGTGGAGTTTTCACGAGTTTGAAGCCCTGGCGTCTTCACGAGTGTTTCAAAGTAGCCCGAGAAAGAGGCATTTCGTGTTTTAAGTGAGCGCTGTTTCTTCTTGGTTCGTGAAAATATTTAGATTTTCTGAAAATGCTCAGGTGGTGTCTGCTGATCAAATGTTTACATGTTGATGACAGTGCGTAGAGTAAGAAAGCCAGCGTGGGCCG